GGCTAAATATACAGCCCCAGCCAAGTGCCCCACAGGGCTGGGGTCATGCACTGGGGCAGTGCCAGTCTCCCCCAGGGCTGGTTTGGGGGTGATGTGCCCCCTCTGTCATCTACCCCATGCTACTGTGTGGTACTGACCCAAAAAAGCTGTCCCTGGTGTGCCCCAATCCTGCCCCTTGCAGCAGGGTTGGGGTCATGGCTTGCAGGAGCTGCTGTTGCCTCTCTGGGAGGACTGGGCAGTGGTGGGGGCGTGCAACAAGCAGGGTGCTTTGGGATGTACATCATTGGCACTGGGGGTCCTTGGGGTGCTGTTGTGCTGGGAGATCCCTCCCTAGCTCTAGTAGTCTCTGGCATGCCCCATGCCTCGGGTGTGTGGGGTGCTCAGCTCCTGCCTCTTGGGCTGGGGGGGTGGTACCAGGGGGGCTGCAGAAAAAAAAGGGCTCATCCTCCCCTCCACCCTTTCCAGGTACGGCACCGCCAGTCAGGGCAGATCATGGTGCTGAAGATGAACAAGCTGACCAGCAACCGGGGCAACATGCTGCGAGAGGGGCAGCTGATGAACCGCCTCTCGCACCCCAACATCCTCAGGTAGGGCCTGTTCCCCCTGCACTGTCCCTGGTGGGATGCTCCTGGGTCTGGTCCCTGCCGTGGTCACCCTCAGGTTCCCTCTGTCTCGCAGGTTCATGGGGGTGTGTGTGCACCAGGGACAGCTACACGCGCTGACAGAGGTGAGAGCGGGGCAACGGACGTGAATCTCGGGGAGCCTGCAGGGAGGGGACAGTGATGGCTGTGGGGACACTCTTGGCCCGTGGCATTTGTGCAGGGCAAGGTCTGCTGGGGGGCTGTTCTGCTGAGTTGTTGGAAGTTGTATTGGGATGAGAGAGAGCATCCAGCCTCATGGGACAGAGAGGGTGCATGGCAATGTGATGATCCGACTCTTCCCATCAGTACATCAATGGTGGGAACCTGGAGCAGCTGCTGGACAGCCCTGTGCCCCTTTCCTGGTCCATCCGTGTCAAGCTGGCCCTCGACATCGCCTGTGGCCTGCGCTACCTGCACTCCAAGGGCATTTTCCACCGTGACCTTACCTCCAAGGTATGGGATGCACCAAGGCATCCCATTGCCCCCATTGTCCCATCCCCACATTGCAGCCCCAGGCGTGGCCGTCTGAGGAGCATGAATCTGAGCTGCGCTGGGGCATACAGGGAGCAGTGGCCTGCGAGGCAGGGCTGGTGCATTTGGTGTGACCAATGTCCTCCTGTGCCCCTAGAACTGCCTGGTGCGCTGCGAGGCCAATGGCTACACAGCTGTGGTGGCTGACTTTGGTTTGGCTGAGAAGATCCCCACTTACAGGTACATGGGCAGCGTCCATCTGTCTGTCTCTGTCCTTGGAGTGAGGGTTTTCCAACCCACTTGGAGCAGGAAGGGGAGGTGATGGACATTTTGGGTGCATCTAGAAGGGTAGGGATGGGGAGTGGTGGGCATGGTCTGTAGTGATGGGGTCTTGGGGGGCAGATAGACATGTTTTAGGCTGAGGGGGATAGAAAAAGGAGTGGTGTGCATGGGGAGAGATAAGTCTGTGGGATGCATGGAAGAGGCTTAGCCCAGGAAGGGAGATGGACATGACGATTTGGGCTGTCCCAGTGGGAGGATGGGAGGTGGGAAAGGAACATTGGACTGTGGGCATCCCCTGATGTCCCACCATGTCCCCTAGTGAGGGCAGCGAGAAGGAGCCGCTGGCTGTGGTGGGCTCCCCGTACTGGATGGCGCCTGAGGTGCTGCGAGGGGAGATCTACAATGAGAAGGTAAAGCTTTGCGGCTCTCGTGTGTGGGACTTTATCCAAGAGTGCAGGATTTGTGGCCTCAGGAGCGCTTGGACACATGGAGGGAAGGAACTGGGCATCTCTTGGGGGGTGAGGTGGCACCATGGGGAAGAGGGGGACTGTGGATTCACAGAAGAGTGGGCACATCACCTGGGGGCTGCAGGCCCCCTCCCCAGTGACTCCCTGCTCTCTGCAGGCCGATGTGTTCGCGTACGGCATCATCCTGTGCGAGACCATCGCTCGCGTCCCCGCAGACCCAGACTACCTGCCTCGCACTGAGGTGACTCCAGGGGATGGGGCTGGGGAGGGAGGACAGCAGCATTGGGACTGAGGCTGCTTTGCTGAATGAGGAGAGCCCTGTGTGCAGGAGCTGCCCCATATATCAGGGCAGGGGAGCTGTGTCACAAATGTCCCCTGGCTGCTCCCCAGGGAGGGATGCTCTCTACCAAAAACCTGTCCTTGGAGCCCGATGTCGGCCTGGGTGGGAAAAGGGGATGGTAGCAAGTAGTGGGGTCTGTGTACCAGCATCCCCCAACCTTGCCCCAACTTGACACCCCAGGGTAGCACTTCACTGTACCTGAGCACACAGTCAGTGTGGGGAGTGGGGGCCAGGTCACCATGTGGTGCCCCAGGGGACCCCACCTCACTCTTCCTCCTTTCCCTGGCACAGGATTTTGGGCTGGACATCACCACTTTCCGCACCATGGTGGAAGTTGACTGCCCAGTGACCTTCCTCCAGCTCGCTTTCCACTGCTGCAGTGTGAGCCTCCCATCTCGGCCAGGGGGGACGGGGAGCTCTGTGGGCACCGGGGGACAGGCAGGGAGCTGCCTGTGCTGGGTGATCTCCCTGGGGTGCTGGAGGGGCCACAGGGCTCACCTGTGACCCCTCCTGCCCACAGATGGACCCTGCCTCCCGCCCCTCATTCCTGGAAATCACGCAGTGCCTGGAGGGTGTCCTGCAGCACCAGCCCAGTGCAGAGGGCACCGGGGACACCCTTTTCGGTGGCGGGGAGATCCTACCTGCACCTGGG